TTAAAAAAAAAAAAAAAAGGAAAAGGAAGAAAAAGAAAGTAGATGGAGGAACTACACAGAGTTACTGTACTGAAAAGAACTGGTCAATGTTCATCCACTTCGGGAGGTAGCATATGATCAACAACCAATGGTACTGAAGGAAGACGTTGAAGCTGTGTTGAAGGAAGTGGTGAAAGACAAGGCTCCAGGAACTGATGGAATACTCATTTAGATATTTCAACAAACAGGTGCCATGCTGGAGGCACTCACTCACCCATGCCAGGAGATTTGGAAGACAGCTAACTGGCCAACTGACTGGAAGAGATACATATTTGTACCCATTCCAAAAAAAGATAATCCCACAGAGTGTGGAAATTATTGAACAATATCATTAATATCACACACAACTAAAATCTTACTAGAGGTAATTCAAAAACAGTTGCAGCAGTATATTGACAGAGAACTTTCAGAAATGCAAGCTGGATTTAGAAGAGGACATGGAATGAGGGATATCATTGCTGTTTTCAGATGAATCTTAGCTGAAAGCAAAGAATACCAGAAAGATGTTTACTTTTTTGTTAATTGTTTAGTTTTTTTGTAAAACTGTGTTTTATTGACTGTGCAAAAGCATTCGATTGTGTGGATCATAACAAATTATGTGTAACATTGACAAGAATGGTAATTCTAGAACACTTAATTGTACTCATGGGGAACCTGTACATAGACAAGGAGGCTGTCATTTAAATAGAACAAGGGGATACTGCATGGTTTAAAATCAAGAAGGGAGTGCATCAAGGTTGTATCCTTTCACCATACTTATTCAATATATATGCTAAGCAAATAATCCAAGAAGCTGGACTATATGAAGAAGAACGTGGCATCAGGATTGGAGGAAGAATTATTAATAACTCGAGATATGCTGATGACACAACTTTGCTCACTGAAAGTGAGAATGACTTGAAGCACATACTGATGAAGATTGAGGACTACAGTCTGCAGTATGGATTACGTCTCAATATAAAGAAAACAAAAATCTTCACAACTGGACCTACAAGCAGCATCACGATGAATGGAGAAAAGATTGAAGTTGTCAAAGACTTGATATTACTTGGTTCTACAGTCAGCACCGATGGAAACAGCAGTCAGGATATCAGGCATCCTATTGCACTGGGCATATCTGCAAAGGACCTCTTTCAAGTGGTGAAGAGCAAAGATGTGTCCTTGAGGACTAAGATGTGCCTGACACAAGCCATGGTGTTTTCAGTCGCTTCATGTGCATGTGAAAGCTGGACAGTGAATAAGGAAGGCCAAAGAAGAGTCAATGCTTTTGAGTTGTGGTGCTGGTGAAGAATGCAGAAAGTACCATGGACTGCTAAAAGAACTAACAAATCTGTCCTGGAAGATGTGTAGCCAGAATGCTCCTTGGAGGCAAGAATGGCCAGACTTCATCTCACCTACTTTGGTCATGTTATCAGGAGGAACCATTACCTGGAGAAGGATATCATGCTTGGTAAGGTGGAGGCTGATGAAAGAGGGGAAAGCCCTCAACAAGATGGACTGACACAATGGCTGCAATGATGGGCTCAAGTACAGCAAGGATCATGGAGCTGGCACAGGACCAGGCATTGTTTCGTTCTGCTGTGCATAGGGTTGCTATGAGTCAGAGCTGACTCGACAACACCTAACCACAACAACAAACCCTGGTGATGAATGAGGTGACAGATATGGTGGCTTCCCTTACTTTTGTATACTTAAGCAGAGATTTAAAGCCCCTTTGTTTAAATATACCATAATTTATACATTACAAAACTACTGTATGAAATTGCAATAGTGGTGAATTGAATGATCCCAAGTACAAATTTCCTCTCAACCAGTGATGTAATTTGATTCTTGTAAATTAAAAGAAAGCTGAATAACATGATATATAAAATAATTATGTATCATATATAAAAATAATGAAATATATAAAGTAATAAAAAATGTATGTAATCAGGGGAAAAAAAAAAATAATAACCTTACCCTATGAAAGGGAAGGGAGCTATGAGAGTGAGCTCCTCTGGGGGTGGGAACTACAGAGTGCTCATGAGTCATACCTGTTTCTTTTCCCACAAGATCAGGAGAATTATCAAGTTAAGTTGTCAGTATTAGATTACAAAGAAACAATGTACAGAAGCTGGATGTGAAAATGTGATCTGCAGGGAAGATTAGCAAAAATTCAGTGTGTTTCTGGCGAACACAGTGATTTCTATAATCACTAATAGGTTTCTGAATATAATGAATCAGGCTGCTATTTGGCACGTTACAGCATAAACCTTCTGAATAGTTAATTACTGACATAAACAGGCTTATAAGATATCTTCCTTACTGTGGTTTTGATATAGGAAGGATCTAACTTGCCACCTCTGATCTTCTGAAAGGGAGGGAGTAATTTGTTGGATTAAGCAGACCTTGCAAACATTTTAAGTCTTCCTTATTCATTCTCCAGCTCTCACATGCATACAAAGCAATCGGAAATATCATGGCTTGTGTCAGGTGCACCTTAGTCCTCAAGGAGACAGCCTTGCTCCTCAGCACTTGAAACAGTTCCTTTGCAGTTGACCTTCCCAATGCTACATGCCGTCTAATGTCCTGACTGCTGCTTCCATTGACATCAATTGTAGAACCAAGCAACGTGAATTCTTTGACAACCTTGATCTTCTCTCCATTTTTTTGTGATGCTGCTCAGTGGTCCAGTTGTGAGGATTTTTGTTTTCTTTATATTGAGACAGTAATCCATACTGCAGACTTTATATAGAATACTTAAATAAAATTTTGGTTGAACAGCAACAACAACAACAAAACATTTGGGCTTAATATTAGCATGTGTTTGGAATATATATATATATATATATATATATATATATATATAATCTTTAAGCACAGTTTAATTTGTAAAATTAGTTTTTCCTGCCTAATGAAAAGCAACTTCTACTTTTGACCAAACATCAAGAATCATTCAGAAATACCTTTGTTGGTCACACAGCTTTCCTTTTCATTCACTGATTCATTCAACTGTTATCTATCAAGAACTAGTTATGGAAGATACTGCACTTAAGCAAATGCAAGTAAAATGGTTTACAGTACTTGGTTTCAGAGCCATCTATTCTTGACACGATGGAGATGTTAATGGTTAGCAAATTATGCAACACAATCTCCTTGTACCAGTTCTCAACACACACCCAACACACACACACACACACTCCCTTTGGACTTACCTGCAGCTAGATCAGGGCTGGCTGACTGAGTCCTGGGCTGTCTGTCCAAGTGTCCCCCAGTACTGCATGTATTGTACAGTTTAGTCAGAGGAGAGTAGGGATGTCCCGGGACATTAGGACTGTGACACCAAGGGCTATGAATGGGGAAAAGAGTTGGTGGGATTTTCTTTTCTCTGTAAAAGAAAGAAAACCAAATTAAACCCAAAAAGCATTTTGTACAATTATATGACAGAGGTGTAATTAAAGTGAGAGCATTTTGAGATCAGAGAATATGGTTTTCCCAGACCTTGAGTAGCAGAATTTTTATATCATCAGAAGCATTTGCCACAAATAAATGATATAAATTCACTACCTCCATCCACAGCAGCTATTGATTCAAGATGAGTAGAACATCAAATTTCTAGAGGATACACCTTTCCTTCTACCTAACCCATTATCATGGAGTCAATTCTGACTCAAATCTACCCCCCACTGGGTTTCTGAGTCAGTAAATCTTTACAGAAGTAGATTGCCCTGTCTTCCTTCTGTGGAGTGGCTGGTGGGTTTGAACGACCAATCTTCTGGTTAGCAGTCAAATGCCTTAGAGACTGCTAAATACATGATAATAACTTCTCCTCTTGACAGCCTTGCCTCCAACAGCAGTGCCAATGAGAACTGAAATGGCAAGACCAGTCACAAGATTACCTAATGAAATTTGGCAGCCTTTATTCTCCTGCTCACACTGTTCTTATGCTGTTCATATGGGTCCTATTAAAAATAGTTTATTTTGACTGTTGATCTATCTGTACATGAGTACCTATTTGCCACCTGATTATTTTCAACTGATAACTCAATTACTAATTCTGGGAAGGATTCAGCTAAAACAAACAAAAAACAAAAACAACTTTTTACCTCTTAAGAACTTGAAAGTGTTCCTTCTTACATGATAAGGGATCTTCCTCTTGTTGATCTTGTTTTTCTTTGGTTATTTCAGTTGTAGATGTTGGCCCCTGGAACATGTTCCTTCGAGGTGTTGTAGCTACCATTGAGCATCTATCAAATTCAATATCAGTCTCTAATTTCTCCCATGCTTGTTTCCAGTGAATAGGAGTGTACCAGGCAATAGCCTAGCAAAAATGGTTCATAAATATGAAATACTGTTGGCATTAGATTTTTTTTTTAAATGCCATAAGCTTATTGCAATACAATGTCATCATCAACCTGTATAATGTCACTTGCCTGCTGCATGTGGATAGGGATATGGTAAGAAATCCTGGCCATCATTTCCAGTTCTAGAAATTATAAGCTGTGTGACCTTAGGTAGGTTAGTCGCTGACTGTCTTGGATTGTGTCCTCATATGTAAAGTTGTGTGGGTGCTGGTGGAGAATTGATTCATGAGGGTGCTGTGATATTCAGTTAAGCTACTGGATTTCATTAACTACAAAGAACTGTGAGAAAAGGAGTTGTAATTATCATTAAGAAGTGCAATTTAAAATATTTAAGAGCCAATATATATCGGTGCTTTATTTGGGATGGCACAATGGACAGAAGTAGAGGCAGAGAAGAAAGTGCTATCTCCTGGCTAGACTCCTAGATCGGAGTGTTGAAGAGATGTGTGAGACTGACCACTAGAGCTGGCGTTTGTGTGGGTTCCTGAATATGCGTCATATGTACAACATGTATAAGCAAAATTAATGTGGAAAAATTCTGCACAACGACTAACAATTCTATATTTAGTCAATCAATGAGGAAATTAAGCATCAAAGTGTGCCCTAATGTAGTGGGGTCATGAGGGAGGTATGTCTGTGTGTGTGTGTTGGGGGGTGCAGATCGCATCCTCTGACACTGTCAGAGGAGGTGACACCAAAATGACCCCAGAGTTTGCAGCAGCACTGGCGGCTCTCCCTCACCCACCAGTCAGGGTGCCAGAGGACTGCTCACCATTGGGCAGAGAGAACCTGCGTTGGCGCCAATGGGAGAGAGGAGGAGCTGCGGGAAGCCATGGGGGTCA